TCGTTCATTAGGTCATAGGTGAATGGGAAAGATCATCCTGTGGTTGTCTGGGTGCAGTGAGTCAGAATATTTCATTTTAAGTTCCCACACACACTTTTGACTACTTCAGTAATGTGTTTTAAGTTGTTTGATCAGATAAAGAAAATATAAAATAGAACATTTCATTGCTGAACTTTCTGCAATGCTATATTCTTCATTTTCTGCTGTCTTTTAAAGACTCTCATTGCCATCGTAGTAATTGTTATTTGAAAAATAACAAAATTATAATTAGAGAATTAAATGCTTAAATTAATGAATTAATGAATTAAATTAAAAAGAGAAATGAGAAAATGCCACCGTAGTAATTGTTATTTGAAAAATAACAAAATAACAAAAAATAACAAAAAAATTAAATGCTTAAATTAATGAATTAAATTAAAAAGAGAAATGAGAAAATGCCATCGTAGTAATTGTTATTTGAAAAATAACAAAATTATAATTAGAGAATTAAATGCTTAAATTAATGAATTAATGAATTAAATTAAAAAGAGAAATGAGAAAATGCCACCCCCACCCCCCCAATTCTTCCTCAATTCTTCGTGGCATAGATTCAACAAGGTGCTGGAAGCATTCCTCAGGGAGTTTGGTCCATATTGACATGATGGCATCACACAGTTGCCGCAGATTTGTCGGCTGCACATCCATGATGCGAATCTCCCGTTCCACCACATCCCAAAGATGCTCTATTGGGTTGAGATCTGGTGACTGTGGAGGCCATTTTAGTACAGTGAACTCATTGTCATGTTCAAGAAACCAATTTGAAATGATTAGAGCTTTGTGACATGGTGGAAGTAGCCATCAGAGGATGGGTACATGGTGGCCATAAAGGGATGGACATGGTCAGAAACAATGCTCAGGTAGGCCGTGGCATTTAAACGATGCCCAATTGGCACTAAGGGGCCTAAAGTGTGCCAGGAAAACATCCCCCACACCATTACAACACCACCACCAGCCTGCACAGTGGTAACAAGGCATGATGGTTCCATGTTCTCATTCTGTTTACGCCAAATTCTGACTCTAACATCTGAATGTCTCAACAGAAATCGAGACTCATCAGACCAGGCAACATTTTTCCAGTCTTCAACTGTCCAATTTTGGGGAGCTCTTGCACATTGTAGCCTCTTTTTCCTATTTGTAGTGGAGATGAGTGGTACCCGGTGGAGTCTTCTGCTGTTGTAGCCCATCCGCCTCAAGGTTGTGCGTGTTGTGGCTTCACAAATGCTTTGCTGCATACCTCGGTTGTAACGAGTGGTTATTTCAGTCACTGTTGCCCTTCTATCAGCTCGAACCAGTCTGGCCATTCTCCTCTGACCTCTGGCATCAACAAGGCATTTCCGCCCACAGAACTGCCGCTCACTGGATGTTTTTTCTTTTTCGGACCATTCTCTGTAAACCCTAGAGATGGTTGTGCGTGAAAATCCCAGTAGATTAGCAGTTTCTGAAATACTCAGACCAGCCCTTCTGGCACCAACAATCATGCCACGTTCAAAGTCACTCAAATCACCTTTCTTCCCCATACTGATGCTCGGTTTGAACTGCAGGAGATTGTCTTGACCATGTCTACATGCCTAAATGCACTGAGTTGCCGCCATGTGATTGGCTGCTTAGAAATTAAGTGTTAACGAGCAGTTGGACAGGTGTACCTAATAAAGTGGCCGGTGAGTGTATATATATACTGTATAGTATTTAGATGATACTCCAAGGTACTTTAAAGAATACCATGAAAAAAAAAACATGGCATTTTCATGGGACAAGTCCAAAAAAAAGGCATTTCCATTGGACATGTCCAAAGAACATGGCATTTCCATAGACCTAATAAAAACATGGCGTTTCCATTGGACATCTCAAAAGAGCATTTCCATGGTACAAGTAAAAAAAAAAAGGCAGTTCCATGGGACATGTCTAAGAAAAACATGGTATTTCCATGGGATATGCCCCACCTACTAAAACATGCCATTTCCATTGGACAAGTAAAAAACAAAAAAACATGGCATTTCAATGGGACAAGTAAAAAAAAAAAAAAAGCATTTTCCATTAGACATGTTTAAAGACATGGCATTTCCACGGGACATGTCCAAAAAAAACAAGGCATTGTCATGGGACATGTCCAAAAAAACAAGGCATTTTCATAGGACATGTCCTAAAACACCTTTCCATGGGATATGCCCCACCCACTAAAACATGCCATTTCCATTGGACAAGTAAAAAAAAAAACATGGCATTTCAATGGGACATGCCCTCCCAAAAAAACATGGCTTTACTCACACCCCAATAATGTAATATGTTTAAATAATTTTCATGCGCTTTTATTAATTAATCAGCATATCCATGTTAATTAAATTTAACTTTCAATTGATTGAGAGACCTATATGTTTTCTTATATATATGTTTCAACAAAAAACATAAAATAAAAAAATCTGGCTGTGTTTTTGTGTGTTGGCGGGGATCTGATGGACTGTATTTGTCCAAATGGAGCCCTGTCATCTTTATTGACTAAAAATATATTTTTTATGACTGTGAATGTGAGTTTAAGAGCGAGTGCATTTTAGTTGTAGTCTGACTTATGGTTTTGTGTGCTCAGATCGGTGATAAGGGAACTGATGTGTTTTAGAGTATGTTACGGGTAGATAGAAACAGATTAATCCTCTGGTATACCATAATCCTCGGCTGATGGATGGCTGCAGATATGCGACTGTGTGATCTTGGCTCGGAGGAAACCGGCCTGCTGGGAATGAGCAGTGCAAGGTCATGTGTACAGCTGGGCTAGTTAATAATCCAAAGTTTTTATATGGAGCTATTTCTCTGTTTCAGTATCTATATATTAGTGCTGTTCATTGGCTGTAAACTGTGTTTAGGTGGCTAAAGCATTCCTGCTTTGCTCATTTAGTTTTCTGATTTCCCTTAGGACTAAACAAGATCTCTGTGCCTCAGGTTCTTTAGTTTCCCGGCTCTCCGGAATAAAACATTGCCATTAGATCCTCATCTATCAGCAGAGAGACATTTCATCAATGTACAGCCTCAGATCTTTACAGTTTAATATTCATAAAGCTGGCCACTACATGGTTTGTCTCAAACAATGGCTAACTTTCTGATGAAGCGGGTGAGCTGAAGGTCAAGCAGCGGAGAGGGGGTGGGGCTCAGGTGCTGTGCCTCAGGTGCTGTGCCACCGTCAGTGGTTTTGTCAGCATATGGGAAATTACAGCAGGTGTGTGTCCAATGGACCACCAGTTTAATAACAGCAAGATCCACATGGACGCAGGTGGGATAATTTTAGGGGATGTTCAGGCAGAGCGAACCTATATTCAACCCCAAACACACACACACTTTGTTTGCAGATCATTGTTTCTGGTTGTAATGAGTTAGCAGACAAGATAAGTTCAGCATTTGAGGTCAGTAAGATTAAAAAAAATCTTTTTTCTTTTTTAGCAACGATGCATTAAATTGATCAGAGGTAACCGTGAAGATTTATGATGTTACAATAAGATTTCTGTTTCAAATAATTGCTATTTTATTCATTAAACAATCCTGGGAGAAAAAAAAGTGTATCAGGGATTCCACAAAGCTATTAATCTGTTTTCAACATTGATAGTAATAAGAAATGTTTCTTGAGCATCAAATCTGCATAATGATTTCTGAAGGGTCATGTGACACTGAAGACTGGAGTAATGATGCTGAAAATTCAGCTTTGCATCACAAAATTACATTTTAAAGTAAATTGAAATAAAAAAATTGTACTTTCCTTTGTTGAAGTTTTTGGCCTGTCCCTAAAACAACCCTTTTGACGTGAAATATCATATATGACGGAAAGAAAATTGAAAAAAAAAAGTCTGTTTTTGGCTTCATAACCTGGCTCAGATGGAATCTGCACACTTTTTTCACGCTAAAAAGAGAACATCAGCTAAAATATTTAATAAACACAGACATAGAGCAGGATGTGAAGAACCTGAATGACGGCTCTTCGAATTCTGCGGGCTAGTATTCCATGTGGGCATATTTATAACTAAATATGCACGCTTATAAAGAAGGATTACTTAGATGAGTGAGTGATAAACTGGCGTGCAGATGCGAGGGATTTGAACATTTCTAAAAGACCAATTAAATCACATAACCCATCTCTCGCTATCACTCGCGCGCTAATGACGACCCCTCAGGTTGTCGACCCTGCTGGTCCAAACTGTCTGTTTCTCGTCCAATAGCATCTCTATTCCTCATTAACACATCGTCCTCTGTCACTCTGCTTTTCCTTTCATCCTTTCATTCCCAGCGGTCTCGGTTTCATTCGGATCCCTTACCTCGAGCTGGACTGAGCAGTCAGACATCAGACGCTCTGAGAACGCTGTGCACTTACAGTCATTAACACACTTTTAAACAAAGTTCTCTTTGTGTGAAAACACATATGACTCTTAACATAACACAAATACATGTTATAAGTCAAGATAACGTTACACGAGTGCGAATAAACGAGCGTATGCAGTATCAGTCTGTGAGAGCTTGCACTGCTACAGCAGCGAGGCACAGAGACTGCTTTCATAGGGCACCATTTCAGCAGAGCTGGTCATTAGCTTTCATCTAGTGTCATTTCAGCAGTGCCGGTCACTCTCTGCGGACTCGCTGCTGAGAGACAAACTGTAGAAAACTATTACTGTCAGTTACAACATGGCAGAGCGTCTACAGGCTTCAGCATGCTTCAATTATTCACTCATTGCAACACACAATGTTGCAACTGAATGTATTGTTTATATGGAGATTTGTTGGATGGCTTTGCATTATTAAAGACATGCCCTTTTACTGAGGGCATCCATTCAGACAAATGAATGTGTGTGTGTGTGTATTCAAGTGGGCATATGAACACTACACTATCGATTCAACAAAAACCTGCCTTGTCAGGATAGGTTTCTTTTGCTCCAGCCTGATTGGCTCTTCTAACAGTTTATCTCTCTCTTTCTTTGTTTTCTTCGCAGTTATGAGGCGGAACCCGTTCGCGACGGAGGGCTGCTGTCGGAAAGGCTCCAGAAACGCCCTACAGGAGCTGTACAACCCCACACAGGTATCAGTTTGTCATAAAATATATGTATAAATTACAGTGAAACGTGGTGACAGTGTTTAAATAAGAATATGGTGACAGTGAGTTTTTAACATAACTGGCCTGGCCTGGCATAATGACTTATAAACCACACAATCAGGGGCCGTTTTACATGACACTGTTTTCAACTAAAAACGTTTTATGCGTTTTGCCCATTCATTTACACAACAGCTGTGTTTTGGGGGCCTGAAAATGCACATTTACAGTTTATAGTCCAGGGTCACTTGTAGTAATATTTCAACCTCATCATTCGTCCAGACAAATTGCACGATGCTTTTTTTTCAATTTACCGCTCTCAGGGTTTCCAGGTTTGTGTAATAAAACCAGCCAAATTGCCATTCAAAACCCGGCCAATCACGGCAAAAACTAGCGTTCCGGGGTGTAAAAATCGACTTCCCAAAAAACAACACGTGACAACAGTGTAAAAGTAGCTCTGTAGAAGAATGTGTATGTGTTTTTGTAGTGTGTCTTTACAAAGTGACATCGCCAACTTCTGGCCTGGCATGAATATTACAGTGTTTTAGTCGTTTTGACAACGTTGTCGTCTGTGGGTAGAACTGGTCAAAAACACAAAGGAAAATCGTTTGCGCTTTTAGTACATCGTTGTCGTGTGACACACTACAGTAAATAATGCAATAAACATGAACTTTTAACATTCGAATGTACATAACTGACAAAAAAAAAGAAAAGTATTTAAATAAAATATATGTGATCCATCACGCAGGGACTTTAAACAAGAACTACTGTTTTTTTTTTTTAAGTTTTTCCGCAGTAAATAAGGTGGTTAATAAAAATATATCATATTTACATAATACATAATTTTAACAATAATACGTACTGTAAAATACATGCATTTTCTTGTTCAGTATTTATACATGGATAGATTTAAACTAAATTACATGGTAATTCAAACTTTTTACTTGCACAACCAAAAATTTGACAGTAAAATGACATATGATGCTAAGCAATTTATATATTTTTTAATGCGTATGGAAAGATAACGGGTTTTTACTGTAGCATTTTTACAATGTTTTTCTATAAAAAAGTTTTACATTAAATATAAATAAGTAAAATATAATTTTCCCACTTAGGCATAATAATGATTTCGCTATTTTGCCTTTAATTCTGAGTACACTAGTATATAAATTGACAATGGAATTCACCAGCAATTTTAATAAAATCTGATTTCATATTTCATAGTGAAACAGGATATTCAATAATAAAAATGTAGGGTATATCAAGTCCATCCAGACAATCTGTAAATACATTTTTGCAGGAATTGATTGGATCTTGGAATAACATGCACCAATGAATGGTTCAAAATAACGTCAGGCTCACGTATCAGGGAGTAAATCAGGTCAGTTTTGATTTCACGGGTCTATAAGTTTTGGTCTTCTCTGCATTGAGGTCAGCGGGAAAGAATAACCTCTGGACCGTCACTGGAATGCCTGAGCACGTTACTATGGAAACATTCACATTTCATTTCCAATGTAAAACACGCAGGTCCAGAGTTTAGCCGAGCAGATTGACTCGACCACAAAGCGAACATTATGCGAGGATTGATTTCATCCGGTTTAATTTCACCCCTCTTTCTCACGCTCACCTTCCTGCACGTTTCCAGCCACCTCCACCCTTTTATGATTGATCGTATACCCCATCTGTTCTTTGTCGCCCGACCGATCGTCCTGTTCCAGAAAGCAAGGAAAGAGAGTGTAGTTGTAATAGTTTGTTTTCATCTCATGTTCAAAAACTCTTTCACCTTGAGCAAACAGTCTCAGCGCTGTCAGAGCGTTTTGCACGTAAAAGAAGCTGAGAACGCCAAATGTCACAGCACAAGCAGGCAGTAGGTGGTCTCGTCTGACACTACAAACACACATTTGTCTTTTTATCAACTTCAAATGCATTTATACTGAGCCAATGATATTTTCTATTCCTTAAAGGAATATTCAAGTTAAGCTCAATAAACAACATTTGTGGCATAATGCTGATTACCACAAAAATACATTTCCACTTGTCTCTCCTTTTGGTTACAATGACACACTAACAATAGAGTGCATTAGTGCCCGTCCCCCTTTTCAGCGGCACTGGTTCCGAAATTATTTTTTTCATTTATTTTTCCCATAGGTATTTTAAAATAGTCTTCGTTAAAGATTGATAAGCCATACACCAAATCAACCAGCTACGAGGTGAATCACAACACTACAAACTTTGATTTGAAGCAAAAAAGTATTTGAAAATCAGACAAAAAGACAAACGGCTTTAGTGAGGGAAAGAACTACAATCCCATCAAGCATCGCAAACTACATAATCGAAACTACATTACTTATTTACAAATGTTGATGGAGATTACATACGACACGATTACATCATTCGCAGTGCTTCATGGGAGTGGGCGGGGCTAAAAAAGTGGGGGGTTTTCTCGGCTCTGATTGGTGGACTGATTGTTCGGCATCATGGGTAATGTAGTTTTCACCACGATTTCTGCTATTTTAAAAATAAGCTGAAAAAATGCGGGCTGACGTCTTCAGCAGAAGCAAATGCCATGCATGAACAACCTGATAACTCACAGTAGGTATGTCTTTAATGGTTTTAAAGTTATCCTTTAAAATCAATTTCCTTATGGAGAGTTTTTACCAGACTGTTGCACTCTATAGAAGAGAATTGGGCCAATCTGAAAATGTTAAAATACTCACTGTATACTCAATAGTATAGACACAATACGTAAACAAATAACGTTAACATGATTTAATTGTGAAAAATCACTTATTTACCTTTTTATGTGTAAACTTATATTCAGTTTTACAACTTTGTTGCAAGACGACGGAACGCCATAAACCCTAAAACCCCAAACCGACTGTAAAAATTATTTTACGGCTCAAATAATACACAACTTTAAACAGAATAATCAATCTAAGTGCTGCTTTTATAAAAATATAAGCTTCTTATATATCCCTTTAAGTCCTCCAAAGTTTGGCCCCATTCCCTTCCAATGTAAATGCATCACTTTGATTGAGCTTGAATTGAACCTGGAATATTCTGACATAAACAATATGCGTGTTAGCATGATTTTAGTGTGGGAAAAACACTTACTAAGCTTTAATATGCAAACATATCCAGATTTACAAGTTTGTTGCCATGATGACAGACCATAAACCCCCAAAACAACAGTAAAAACTAAGATTTATATAGGTTTACTGCTCAAGTAATACACACGTTTTAACAAAAAAAAATTATCTAAGTACTTTTTCTGCTTTTATGTAATCCAAAAATTGTCCCCATTCACTTCCATTAAAAGTGCTTCACTGCAACCTCGATTTTATATGCTACAAATGTTATTAACTATTAACCTGGAATTGTCACCATTCTGTTCAGTTTAGTTTTCATTTGTTCTGATTTATGTCACCATCAGTATCCTTGGTTACCGTCAATATTAGTTCATCCGCGTCAGCTGTGTTAGTTAAAGCATCTTATTTGAGTTTGTGTATGAATAGGTCACCTTATCCTGCACTCTTTGTGCGGTATCGTTAACACTATGGTGTGTGTTTGTGTTCTTTGTATGGATCGCTACCTGTTGGATTATTATAAGTAAAGTTACCCGTTTGAATCTTCATCTTCCGTGTCTACGGTTTCCTATCTGCACGCACCCGTTACAGGAATATTCTCATTTAGAGATTATTTACTAGTTTAGCTGTTTTTTTCTCTTTGTGACCATTGGCTGCTCCTCACATGTTGCTAATTTCAGGTTTTACAATCCTTGTAGGAACATTTAGTCCCCACAACATAGACAAAAAAAAAAAAAAAAACACCCCCACCAACACGCTGGTTTTGATGTAAATTCAAGCCTTTTAAAATGAACTAAATCCCTGGTGGATTCTGAATGCATGTACAGTATATTTGGACTGGTTTCCATATGCAGCAGCACGAATCTAAAGTTCCATTCATTTTTCCACAAATATGACTCTTTCTTTTTGACCACTCGCAAAGCATTTGCCATACGATACGCATGAAGGCAACAGAGTTTCATTGAGTTTGGAGACACTTTTACAGGGTAATCTTGTGAATTTCAATACTCTCCTCACACACACACACACACTTAGGCCTACATGTAAGTTAGCAGCCACATTCATTCAGGCTATAGAAACACTATAAAGGAGATTCATGTTAATGCAGGCTCTCAGATAAAGCTGCACACTTATACACCGTAATACTTATTACATACATTACAAATACAGTATGTGCTGTTATGATGTTTTAATCCAACACACCATGCAGTAAAATGCAGCTTTTATTATTCCACCAGCTACTAAAATTATTACACAGACTATAATAGCAGATTATTCTCTCTCTCTCTCTTATTCTTTTACAGGCTGTTCTCTCTGAGCAAAGCTCTTTAGTCAGGCTGTAACGTGCCTCTGTTCGGCTTTTACTGGCTCTGCTGGGTAATGCGACTTTCCTCATCCGCCGAACGCTTCCGCTCTCTCAGTGGAGCGCACGTGTCACTATCCTGTAGTGGAATGTCGAGACAAGATGGAGTTAATTTTAGTGGTCAGCAACTTTCCTATAATTTATGATATGTCTCTGTGTTGATAAAGTGGTACTCTCGCCGCTGACTCGGAGCCTGAGCGGTTTCATAAAGCCAGATAGACTGGCATTCATCTTTAATATTAAAGGGATAGTTCCCCCCAAAAATTCAATTCTGTCATTAATTACTCATCCTCATGTCGTTCCGAACCTGTAAGACCTTCGTTCATCTTCAGAACACAAATGAAGATCTTTTTGATGAAATCTGAGCGATTTCTGTCCCTCCATTGACAGCTACGCAACTACCACTTTGACCCTTTAAAAAGTTCATAAAGAGATTATGGTAGATTTTTCCTCTTTCCCTAAACCTAACTACGTCCTATAATATTTATACACATCGACTGAGTCTAACCCTATACCCTAGCGCGTCTACAGTCGACGTC